ATGGTTCTCCCTTATTATTTTAACTATCCTAAATGATATATTGTCCCTGAATATAACTGGGGAGAAGGTTATAAACCTGATTATACAGTTTGATTTCCCTCTAGTTCTGATGATCATCTATATGGGTCACCTATTCCATATGTTTTGGTTGAAATAAAAAGACCCCAAAAATATGGAGGACCCTCTTGACATGTACTTTTAAATCAAATATGAGATCAAGCAAATGTTGCACCAAAAACCGAAGACGGTAGAATCTGAATAATTGCTCAAAGAGGTTTCGAAGTTTGTGTATTCATTTTTGATTTAAATAGATACAAAGAAGATATCGATGAACTATATACAAACTTTATTCCTCTAAACTTACATAGATGAACTGTGGCAGATTTTAGAGCAAGGGATATAGAGGTCGAAGTTAAAATAATCAATGGTATAGAGGAGGTTAGAGTTATAAATTGGAGACTAGATATACGTGAACACGCTATGTATTTACATGAGATGTTCGTATATGTAAGAAACCACCCTCTTTAGAGAAAAAAAAATTTTTTTTATATTGCATCCTGAGGTTTATATACTAATTATACCAGGATTCGGTATAATAAGTACTACAATATCAGCTAACTCTAATAAATCCGTATTCGGTTACATCGGTATGGTCTATGCCATGATGTCAATTGGAGTTTTAGGATTTGTAGTATGAAGTCATCACATGTACACTGTAGGTTTAGATGAACAAGGGAGTTTAATTCTTTACTCTCAACTTATTGTAACTAAAATGGAAATAGCAGATGCCAAAGGTAAAACTGATAATAAGATATCGCTTAGTTTGGATGAAACTAAAGAGATTATATTTGGTAGTCTTTTAGGGGATGCTAAATTAGAAATGCCTCCGAGAGGTCTGAACGCTAGATTTGGATTCACACAAGCTGAATTTCAAAAGGACTATTTTATAAGCGTATCTAGTTCTTTATCTGCAATATGCTCTGGAAAATATAGAGAATCTTCTTATTTAGATAAAAGAACAGGAAAAACTTATAAATCTTTAAGTTTTTGAAGCAGAGCTTTACCTATTTTAACTGAGTTTTACCATAAGTTTTATGTAGGTAAGATAAAAATAGTCCCTTTAGACTTATCATTGCTAACTCCTCTTGCTCTTGCGCACTGAGTAATGCAAGATGGGGCGCGTGGAACATCTAAAGGGTTATATTTATGTACAGACAGTTTTACACACGCAGATGTTAAACGGCTTACTCAGTATTTAATAGATACGTACAATCTTAAATGTTCAATACACAAAGCTGGAGGAAACCATCGTATTTATATTTTAGCCAAATCTGTGGAAACTGTTAAAAATCTTATTTTACCTTATATGCATAAATCAATGGTATATAAGTTGGGAGTCTAGCTAACTCCATCAACGTCGTCCATATTTGTAAAAGTATGGTGTATAATT